TGACCCACTGCAGTTTGCAACCAGAATGGTGGGAGAACTGAGATTGTGAACTGAGGCACCACCAAAACTCTTGAAATCTGCAACCAGCGATGCGTCACAAAGGTGACTATAAATACAGACATAACGCTAAGCTTCTGTCTGACCTGTCCAACTCTTCATCCCCAGGGCTAGGTTTTCTTGACTACATATGAGATTGGGCTCTGTGGTGCCTGAAGTCCTTATAGCGGTCTAAATTCATGATCATACAAGATGCATCGTGTTCATTATACTGTGGAGCCATCGATCTCTCTGCAAATTGTTCTCTACGTTTCCCATCACTTATTAGTACTGGATTGTCCTAATTCTGGACTGAAGGAGATTTAAAGAATCCATTTCCTAGCTCAGCTCAGTTGGCCTCTGGTCAGCGCCGCCATTCCACATGACTAACCCCCAGGGCCCTGTTTTTCCATTCTTCCCCTATGCGTTGGAAGTCACCGAGAATTAAGCACTTCTAGAAACATGGAAGAACGTATTTAATGAGTGCTGTAGAGGCCCACGCCTGTCCCCCGATCAGCGGTGGTAAAGCAATGACACATGCACCTCCCATCCGCACACAAGTCAAGTCACCCTAGCGGCTGGGCATGAGATAACAGCTGTTTCCTCTAAACTAAACCCTACGGGTCAGGTTTAACTGCAGAGTTGGCAGTTAGCAATAAATAAGTGGGCCTGGGGTGGCAGCGTGGGCGCTGTTCTCTGAAAGATTCGCCATCGCTGCTCGAGACCGTGCGGAGTACTTGTCTAAACCACGGGTAAGACAGCATTTTCAGTAGAAAATGGGTAAGCCCTCCATATTTATTAATTCAGGGATTATGTTTTGTGGGATGATCATTCTTTATTTAACCATTATAACCAGAGCAAACCCACTCTAGGGAACTTTGAGCTCAGAGACTGCACTGACGAGAGACTTTGAGGCGCTCTACAGTGAACAGCAAGCCGGAGAACCCAGCTCCACCACCACCAGAGTGCTGTGGAAGTGGGGCAGGGGAGGAAGGAGGGGCTTTCTGAGCAGGAGTCGCCTCTAAGGAGCACACAGGAGCACTCACTAGCAAGGATCTCGCACCAAGCCTCTTGCTAACAACTCATTCCCGAGAGGAACTCATTCACCTCCTGCAGGAAAAATGCCCAATTACCAGGTCCATCAAGCCCACGGAAAGAGAAATGAAATACTGTGAGTTTGGAAGGGTCCCTGTTCTTGCTTAAGATCCCAGTGCTCAGTGGGAAGGCCTCCGGCAGTTATGGCCTGTGGCAATGGAACAGCAACGTGTTTTAAAAACTCTGTCTCAAAAGATTTGTACAACGTCTGCATTTGCACCGCGTCTGCGTTTGTACCGCGTCTGCGTTTGCACCGCGTCTGCGTTTGCACCGCGTCTGCGTTTGCACGGCGTCTGCGTTTGTACCGCGTCTGCGTTTGTACCGCGTCTGCGTTTGCACCGCGTCTGCATTTGTACCGCATCTGCTCAGCAATGCAGCGTTCAGATCCTGTTAGTAACCAGCCAGGCACAAAAGCAGACTTCAGAAAATACTCAGTGGGCCACGTCAAAGCTAGAAAGGAAAAGGCAAGGACAGAACAATCTTACGCCTTGAAAGGGTGTCCCCACCTGGAAAACAACAAGACACAGCAAGTGGATACTGTCTAGTCTCGTGCCCTGTGGCTCTGCCTTCCGTACATCCTCTCTCATTCAATCCCTCATAAAACCCAGGATTCAGATACCATTACCACGCACAGACAGAATACCTGCGTTGGCTAAAATCTCACCGCTGTCTGTCCGCGTGCACACAGAGCCTGCACGCATGCCTACGTGGGGCTTTCTGAACACGCCGACTACACTTTGGGCAAGGGAGGGCAGCTCAGGGGCTGTCAGCGATGGGCCTGGGTCTAAACTCAGGCACCAGCTGTATGATTCCAGGCAGCTCAAACATCGCTGAGCCTCGGGGACCTCATGCGTGAAATGAGTGCTGCTCCTTACATCTAGCTGTCCCTCCAAGGCCTCATGGATCACAGGTGGGCGTCTGGAAGGTGAACAGATTAGAGGCTTGGAGCTGACTTGCTGCCAGGTGGGGTCTGGTCAGAAGAGCCAGGTCACTGGGTGTGGCCTCCCCTTCTCCTCCACACTCTGCTTCCTGGATGTCACGCCTCGTGTAGTGTTTCTCCTCCATGCCCCCCATGCTGTCCTGCCTTGGAGCCAGGGAACTGCAGATTGAAACCCCAAACACTGTGAGCCAAAAATAAACCTGTCTTTTATAAGTTGGGTGGGGGTTTTTGGGGGTTTTTTGTTTGTTTTTTGTGGAACCGGGGATTGAACTGAGGTCCTTGCGCTTGCCAGGCAAGTGCTTATTCTACTGAGCTATTTCCCCGGCCCCATGATTTTTCCATTTGGTTTTTTGTCTGTTTGTTTGTTTGTTTGTTTTTGTACTTTAGGGAAGGGTCTGCAGGGTGTCCAGGGTCTGACTACTAGATCGGACTCATGGTGATTCTCCTGTTTTCAGCCTCCCAAGAGCTGGGATTACAGGTGCACGCCACCATGCCCAGTCTCAAGAGAAGTAAATAAGCTGGGGAAAATCATGTCAAGATCAGCGAGTACTGCTGAGAGGCCACGCAGCTCACCAGAGAAGGGAGGCCCATGCTGTGTCCACACCTTATTATGTGGTTCACAAGCCGCTGGAACTGGTTTGCACAAGGAGGGTTAAAAGGTTTGAGATGTCAGCCAAAAAGGTCCCAGAATCCTATGAACAGAGCCTGATGCGTGAGACCACACACTGAGAGGATGCAGACAACAAAGACCAGGCTCAGAAGGCCTCACTGGGGAGCAGGACTCCCCAGTGCCCAGGCCCTGGGCAACTCACTTCGCGCCCAGGCCCTGGGCAACTCCCACCCTATGGCCATTTTCCCTGGATGCCAGCCTTGGACACAGAGGACACAGTGTTTCGCATGCTGTATGTTGGTCTTGCTTTGGTCTGGCTCTTTTCCATACCTCTATTCCTCCCTTTTGGAATGGGAATGTTTGTCTTGTGCTATTGTCCCTTGGGATTATGTTATCTTCTGTTTTGTTTTGTATTCACAGAGGTTCACAGCTAAGAGTTTGCCTTCAGTCTCAGAAGAGAATTGCAGTTGTGCAAAATGCTGTAACTGCTGAGGCTTTGGGGAAGGAATTATTGCAGTGTTCGTTACGTGTGGGGCAGTTGTACGATGTTAGGCAAAATTGTGGACTCATTATTGTCTTTATGTGGAGATCAAGTGTGGCTTAAGCAGATGTGTTAGGGTGTGGAGTGTGCAAGGGATGGATTAGAACTGCTAATCCCCATTTGCCCCCCTCATTAGATGAAGACATGCCCAGACTGGCAGGGTGACATTCCCGCGTGTCTGCCTGGGCCAGAGGACGCGGTCTGGGGTAGCACACAGTGTCCCTTCCCGCCCTCTCGGCACCGTGGCCTGCTCTGCTCTGCTCCCCAGCCCCACAGCAAGCCCCACACCTGCAGCCACTTCTGCCCTAGAGCCCGCTATCCACATTCTGGATCTCCCGAAACAAGGCGCTAAATTAAGGCTTTCCTGTGAGCTGTGGGCACTGGGTCTCAGCAACAAGAAGCCTGACTAACACAAGAAGTGGGTGGTGCTTATAACCCGGGCATGAGTTTAAAATCTCAGCTCTGCCACACACTGGCTGCGTGATGAAGCATCCCCCACCTCAATTTCCAAACCTACACGATCGAGAGATTCTACAGAGATCAGCAAACATCACTGCAGAGCCGCACAGCCGCTGCGAGGAGGGCAGGGAAGGAGGACACAAGTGCCCTCGGCGAGGGCCACACATCTCAGTGGGGAACCGCTGGGGCATCACTAGCTCTGCATCTGCCCCTCGAGGGGGCAGGAATCTCGACCTGAGGCCTAGCAGCATTCTCAGTGGTTGGCACAGAGACAAACTCAAACAAATGTGTGCCGGCCAGAAAGTGGCGCATCAGCTTCAGGCCGCCACGTGCCACTCTGGAGGTGGAAGAAGCTCCTCCAGAGGCTGCAGCCTTCGCGCATCTCTGTCCCGTGGCAAACGACGCCCAGCTCCCCCATATGCCCAGGCTGCTGCCTTCATGAGGTCAGGTCTGTACCTCTGTGGTACAGATTAACCAACATCGGTGGGCAGGATCCATCTCTCGCAGTCCACCTGGCTCCGCACGTGGACATGCAAACATCTCTGCCCAGCAAGCCCATGATGGGCCTTGGGCCAGGCTGCGTGGGGCCAAAGCCCACCCCCACGTTTGCTAGTAGAGTGACCAGGGGTGGCATCGGAAAGCTGGCAATGCCTTGGTTTTTCTCTCCTGTGAAACGACAGTATCAACAGTGGGGCAATGGCATTGAACTGCTAATGCACACAATCCTCATGAAAGTGCTCTTCAAATGTCAGCAATTAGTTTTGTTGCTACTTCTATCCCATCACACCATCCAAAATAAATTATTCCAACTACCTAAATCATTTCTCCTTTCATGGGTGAACACATAAAGCTGGCATTTCTGCTCCAAAGCCCTGAAATTAACTCGCCGCAGAATGCAAATCATAATCTCCCCGAGCCTAGCTGCAAGAAGAAACTGATTTATGAAGGGACTGCTTTAAAGCAGAAAAGCTCAAGGGGCCCCAAGTATTTCACAGTCACTTGCACTGGAACCTTCCTGGTGGTACTGGGCACTGCCCTTTCCACAGAAAGGAAGAGCCATGCACACTCACACATGCATGTGTGCACACACGTACACATACACGCATGAGTGCACACACTCACCAGCTGAGGGAACTGCGTTCCACACACGTGGCCATCCTCTGTGTCCACCCTATTGTGACTATCAGGGACCTCTCCAGGGTACGGCCCCTCTCTGCACATGCTCAGGGCGACCAGGCCACGGGCCAGTGAAGCCCCGGCACTGCTCAGCCACACAGCACCTCCCCGCCCGCAGGGACAGGAGCGACGCACGCCGCTACCTTCAGCACCGTGATGTTCCACGCGAAGCTCTCCGCTGCCTTGCTGAGCTTCCGGCCTTTCAAGCCTTCCTTCGCCGCCAGACTATGCAGCTCCTCGTGGAAGCCCATACCTTCGAAAAGAACACAGAGAAAGAAGCCTGGCACAAGCTTCCGGGAGGTGGGCGCCAAGTAGTGAGAGCAGGAGCAGTACGGTGCGACCATGCGCGCCTTCTGAGGCGGCCGCACCCCTGAACGGCATTCTCCCACCCACTTTGTTCATCCCATCCAGCGGCTGCCCCGGGTTTCATGGGAAAGGGCGGGCGCGGGGTGGGGGGAGCATGCCCAAGGTTCCCTTTCCTTTATGGTGCAGCCCCATGACTTTAACAGCTGCCCTGAAGCCTTTAGGGCTAACTACCAGGAATTAGTTAATGTTCACTAAAAAAAAAAAAGACTTTTGAAAACAATCCCAAGTCTAAGTGCAGAGCCCTAGAAACAGCTCTGCCACTGCTGGGTCACAAGACAGCAGCAGCACCTGTCACTGCAGATGTCGTCACCTCTCAGGGACAGAACAGTCCCTGTGGAGCCCAGGGCTGACTGGGTGGCCTGTCCGGCAAGGTCTGATGGCTTTTCCCCAGCACAGCCCTTTGGTGCTTGAGGAATGGCCATGGGAGGCACCCCCTCGCCCCTCGTGGCCTCCCTACTCTGGGCCAAGCATGATGTGACTCGGCCTCCTGGCCACTCTCCTCCAAGAACAGGGTCTCTGTCCTGGAGCCCAGAGCCACACTCACGGACAGTGCGGAGCCCAGGCTCACAAGCTGGCTGCCACAGCTGCACACCGAGGGCCTCGCAGACTGTGTGGAAGGTGGCATGGGCCGAAGCACACACAGGCGTCTCCGAGCAGGGCCTGGCGGGGCGCCACCCAGGGTCATCAGCTTGGGTCTCCTGTTCACAGAAACACCCCAGTCTGCTGGGCAGTGAGGGCCACCATTTGTGGTGGTGGTTGTTGTTTTTAAATAAATTTCCTTTATTTGTCTTTAAATGAATAAAATCTCTGACTGCTGCAGGTCTCCTTTAATAATATATATTTAACTCCTTTCTCGTGGAACAGTACTGCTAATGGCATATTGTGTACACTCAAAACCAAAACAAAACAAATACTGTATAATATCTAGAGGTGGATGTTGTTGAGTGCTAACATTTAACCTAAGGTTTCAATGGATTTTCACTTCTTCAGTTTTTTGAAAAGACATCAAAAAAGATAAAAAATAAACATTTCTCTCTTTGTGACCATTCCTGCCTTAAGTGATGGCTACAGGGATGAACAAGGAAGGAAGCCTTGCCCAGGGGACCACTGCAAATCGTGGGTAACGGCTACACAACACAAACAAAAAATATTCCAAGTTTTTTCTTCTTCTTTTAAAGGAAGCCATACAGCAGTCCTGAAAAAAATTTTTCCCTAGTTGTGCACAAGATCATTCTAGCAGAAGACCTCAGAAACGTCCATAGAGATCACCAACTGCTGTAAAGAGGCTTCATTATAATAAAAATTTGGATAGTACAATAGCACTGTTCCTGGAACATTAGCAAAGGTATATACATTCCAGTTACCTTTGATTGAGCCATAATCATATGTATGCCTTTTTTTGGACAAAAATATATATTTTTATAAAAACCTGATCATCCAACTTTAACGATTTCATATATGGACTCAAGAGAGTAGTAAAAGGAACAGACCCAATTATGACAAGGTGATTCAGGGACAGAAAAATCAAGTTCCTCAGGAAAAGTAAAGTATAAAATTAGAGATTTAAACACATTTATTCAGTCCTATTCCCATCTTCTCACCAGTGATGTTAAACGGACTCTTCAATTTATAAAGGCTTTCAGTGGTCTCGTTGCTCTATTTGCAATCAAACCTCTCTGAGAAAAATTATCAGGCAGTTTCCCTTCCCAAGCAACAAGTGCGAATGGAGACTTTGGTGACTGGAGCGCCTTCAACCAAGCCCCGTGCGCCTCCGCAGCTTCCGGCGGTGAGCTCCTTGGCTGGCCTCCCAGCCAGCAGTAGGACTTGTCAGCAGCTCGCAGCCCGCATTAGGGCCACCTCCAGCTGCCAAGCTCTTGCTTGGTCTGAAATACTAGATAGATACTTTATTTTTATAAAACAGCCTTTTTGGTTCTTTATGTACTTTTATTTCAATTAACTGATAAAAAGAAAGGGGAGCTGGTCAGCATTTTCCATCCCAATATCACCTATCTGCTCAGCTAAAAATTCCTCATTCAATCTGTTTCTTTTCAGTCTCCTATTTGCTAAGGTTGGCGAAATCTGCGAAGGCATCCTGCTTGGGTTGCACGGTTCCGGAAGTCAAGGCCAGGGTGGGCACGCCCACACCCACTGCGCCTGTCGAGCCCATCCCAGCAGCTGGCATCCCCATGCCCATGTTCGTGCCCATCTGGTTCGTCAGTGCAGCATTCCCAAGAGGGGCCATTCCCACGGTGCCAGTCCTCACACTGGGCATGCTCACAGGCACAGGTCCCCCCAGCAAAGGGTTAGTGTGTGGCCGGACAGGAAGCGTATTTGATGGAGAACTGAGGTTCACGGCTCCAGAACTTTGAGTCATCACATTCAGAGGCTGTTGCCTATTTTGCTGCTGAATCATGGTATTGAGCGATGGCTGCTGGGGTTTGGATGCCTGCACACCAGGTAGCGAGTTGTCTAGGCTGATGTTTACGCTGGGGTCAGACCAAGTAGAAGGCAGGGTTTGCTGACTGATTTCTGGACCATATCTGCATTCTGTGACCTTGACATGGGCAAACCAAGTCCTACAGTGTTAGTGCTCATCAAAGAGAAATCCATACTCTGGGAAGATGTCATGGTTGCTTGGGCTGAGCCCATGAGATCAAACAGGTCTGAAGAAGCCGAGGCAGCTGGAGGTGGCCCTAATGCTGGCTGCGAGCTGCTGACAAGTCCTACTGCTGGCTGGGAGGCACTGCCAAGGAGCTCACCGCCGGAAGCTGCGGAGGCACACGGGGCTTGGTTGAAGGCACTCCAGTCACCAAAGTCTCCATTCCCACTTGTTGCTTGGGAAGGGAAACTGCCTTCCCAGGAAACTGCAGCAGCTGAGCCAAAGTCAGCAAATCCCCCAAAGAAATCAGCTGATCCTCCTGCTGTTGACAGGCTGGTGGCATCAAACAGATCAACGAGGTCACCTGATGACTTGCTGCTAGGCACTGAAGTCTTAACTGAAGACTGAGGTGTGTGGGTTGAAGCATTCTGATCTGGACTTGCTTTGTCCCCTGTGTAATGCGCTGGAGGGCCACCATTTGTAAAGTCTCAGCTCAAGTAAGCCTCAGCAAGGCTGTCAGGGACCGTGGGTCACTGAGTCCATCTCTCAGGAGCTCAGCTGCCTCCTCTGAGACCAGACAGTGAGGGCCCATGACAGAGCTGCTGCGCAGATGGGGTCAGCCAGACCTGCGCCCAGAGCATCCTAAGTTCATAAGGCAACTGCCATCGCCACCGTCCTCCCACCGCATCACTGCCGAGGGAGGGAGCAGACACAGCGTGCAGTGCACCCTGCCCAGCGGGTTCCTCATCCTCTTCTAACGTGAAGACCATGAAACGGGGTGAAAACACGGGTGGCTGCTTAGGGTCATGACTCAAACTGTAAAGAGAAATGGATTTAAGAGTACGTGTGAGACCATAGCTTCCACGCCCACAGCAAAGATGTAGACAGCTCCGAGCCCTCAAAGGCAGGCGCAGGGGCCTGATCTCTGCAGACACTCAGCCAGCACCTGCCCCCACCCCGCACACGGACCCCAGTCACCGCAACCGCCTGGAGCTCTCCCACACTGCACAGAGGGTTCTGTGGCTCAAAGCAGAGGAAAATGAGGCTGTGAAATACTTTAAGGGAAAGAACAAGAACTTTTTAAAACTGTTCAAAAGAATTATCTTGATGATTTTTAAATAAAGAATTACCTGCTTTCTGGCACTGAACAATCTTTTCCTGAACTCCGTCTGCTGTCTCGATGAGAAACCGGCTCTCTTGAATCATCTGTCACAAAACAAACACCAAAGAAGGGGTTGTCAGGAATTCTCAGACTGGGTCACTGGGAAGGTGGCATTGAGAGAGACACGGAGGCGCGCAGGGCCGGGAGCAGGGCTGAGCCAGCCCAGAAGGAACAGGAACGGTAAGCGCTGGCTCAGCCCTGCCTCTGCAGATAGTAGCCAGAAGCACCTGTTCATGTGCTCTACGTGTGGTGGACAGCAGACTGTCCAAGAGGGCAAAACACCCTGCTGCTGGAGAGAAGGCCGTGTGTGAGGATGGGTGACAAGGGGTGTAAAGATGACAACAGATGAGGAAGCCGTGGTTGCTAAGGGCTAGGGCTCCCAGGAAAGACGGAAGTGACCAAAGAAAGGCAGCCCCTTGGTAGTGGTTTCTGAGCTTCCAGCCACTCAAAAACCTTGGCCTGCTTAGTCTGGATGGCCCACGTCTGTGTGTCTTGGAGATCTGAGAGGGCTCCAGGCAGAGCCCAAAGGGGACCTCAAAGGGCCTAAGTAAGGCGTTTCCTGCTCTTGGTCTTCAGAACAAGTGAAGATGAACATAGTCATCTTTCAAATGCAACAAGGTGATGCCTGCAAGCATTTAGTAGAAGAAGACATGGCGTTCCAGCTGTGTAGTGTCCTCATAATGCCGCAGCGGCAAGTCCTGTCATTTGTTCACTAACAGTTACCTACTGAGCAGCTCCTGTGTGTGAAGTGGGTAAACACAAAGGTGCCTTGAAGAACAGGGACGGATGCCATGCGTACCTCCCTGGAGTTCACGGTCCAACAGAGAAGTCTGCTCGAATGAACAAGTGAACAGAACGTTTACCAACTCAGCTGAAGTGCAGTCAGTCACTGTCCCCAGTGACAGTTACACTGACTGTCAGAAGCACGCAACCAGACATGTGTGAACATCCACACTGGGGGGTGCAGCTGAGCCACATTAACTCTTTCAACTCCCAAGAGGAAGTGAGAGCTAGTAAACAACACTCTACCAAATGGCCAGCAGCAGCCTGAGTCGTAGCAGCTTCCAGCAAATAAACAGGAAGGTGGTGGAAAATCAAACAGGACCACAATCCGAGTTGGTCCTTTTCAACATCCCCACGTGTAACACCGATCGAATTTTTTTCCTAAGTTATCAGATATTACAGTTAGCCAAGTAGTCAACAAAATGTTCACGTGAAATTCAAGCAAGAGAAACATCTATACAGAAGGTGTACCTTTTGTGAATGTGTCCTGAACAAAACAGACTGAAGCCCAGTTTGGACCTAAATGTCTCCCAGAGGCCTCTGTGTTAGAGGTTCAAGCCTCAAGAAACAGCCAAAACGGTGGTGAGAGGGAGTCGTTAACCTTCGGGCCCTTCCTCAGCCTCCTCTTCCTCTCCGCTACTTCCTGCCGTTCTCACCCCACACCCACTGTGATCCCTGGGCCCACGGGCCGGACCCCCTTAAGGCAAGGACAAATGAACCTTCCTTTTCATGAGTTGGCTATTTTGGGTATTGTAAGAATGGAAACCCTATTAATACATTTTTTAAAATCTAGATGATAAGGCTAAAGGAATCTTGGTTGTTCTAACCATTTCCTTCATTTTGTTGATGCTAAGAGACACTAAAATTGCTGTCCAATGAGTGGAATTCGTAACCAAGCTGGAGTCAGAAGCCCAGTGGCCTGGCCTCCAGCCTATTTCCATGGTAAATCACCACCTCTCTGCTACCATTTGAGTCAGAAATGGAGAGCTGCAGAGTGACCTGGTCCCATCTCCTGGAACAGACTTGAGGACATGCACGTAACCAACCCATTTCAACCTGATTTATGTCCATCTACACAGAGGATGATGGATAATTTTCTTTGATAACATCTACACTGAGCTGCTATTCATTTCTCTCAGTTTTGCTCTCAGAAGACACTATTCTCCAGTAAAAGGCCTTTATCTATCAGTTTGTGGCTGTTGATTTATAGTATTTCACTACTATCTGCCTGCTTGGTACAGAGCACAAGTTGGATACACTTCCTGCATGAGAAAAATATCAAGGCCTCAATGCAAACATGAGAGAGGAAGTTAACCAAAGCCACACTTCTCTGCAAACCTGTGTCCACTCCTCCTGGCATTTCTCAGGGACCTACTCCTAATGACCTCTTCTTTCTTCCATCAACAAGTCCTGCCTGTCTCCTGACTTCTGCTCTTCTGCCTGGACCATCTCTTAAATGTAGCAAATCAAAGCAGAAGGAGAACACACCCTAGTGACCCTCGAGTGGCTGCAGTCATCTCTCCGCATAACACTCAGCCTGCGCTCACTGCCTTGAGCTCACCCTCTCTGCACCACTCCACTGAGCCTCTGGGGCAACCCTGGTCTCAGTACCAACCACGCCCTGGTCGATCCCTGATCCTCACAGTCTTCGTGGCCCTCACTGTCTCCAGCTCAGCAAGGAACTCATGGACCATTCCTCCTCCCTGAATTCCTTCACTTGGCTCTTCTCCTGTTTTGCTCTTCCCCTGTCT